ATACACACCTTACATGAAGAATGGTTGGGTGCTAAACGGTATAAGAGCTAATGCAGTGTAAGTTCATAAAAAATAAAGATCGGAGTGGTAGGAGAAAATGTCATCACAACGATAAGATTTGAACTAGAAAAAGATTCTTGTAAATGGTAAGGAGAATGAAGGGCATTTAACTACAAGCAAAAGTAAGTCTGTGTAGGTAGGCAGATGTAAAAAGAGTAGCATGCCGAGGGCCGTAGCATGGTAAGGGACAAGCAAGCCAAGGGGAGTAGCATGACAAGAAAAGTAGCACGGGAAGACCAGAGTGAGGGAAGAATGAGAGGTGAGATTAGAAAAATAAGGTGGGGCACCTGAGCACAAAGAGTGGCAGAACACAGGAGGAGAGGTGTGTGAGAGGAGGAAACACCTCCAAGGGGCTCTGTGTGAAGCTGAGCATAAAGGGGGGCTCTGGTGGGCAAGGAGGAGAGAAGAAATAATGTGACAAGTCGGGTAACAGGACATAAAGCAAAAGGGAGATTCAAATTGTCTTAACCTGTTTGGACGACTACAACAAAATGCCTTAAACTGGGTAATTTAGAAACAGCAGAAATTAACTGCTTACACTTCAGAAGGCTGGGAAGTCCAGAATCAAGGTGCCAGCACATTCACTGTCTAACGAGGGCTCACTCTCTGCTTCAAAGATGGCACCTTTTTCTGTGTCTTCACATGGTAGAAGGAGCCGGGAAGCTTCTTTGAGTCTTTTTTTATAAGGACTTACCTCCTTAGTCACCTCCCAAGGGCCTTACTTCTTAATAGCATTTGGAGGTTAGGATTTAACATATGAATTTTAGAGGGACACATACACTCAGACCATAGCACAACCTTCCCAGGGATGCTCTTCATCTCACTTACTCCATCTACTTTTATTGGTTGAAAGCCAGCTAGCTTGCAGACATTGGGGGAGGCAGATGATGAAGCACATATGCATGTAATTATAGCTATACCCATGTAATGAATCTTGTGAAGGACAAAGTCAGAGTGTTATGATTAAAAATTATTTGAGAGGGTCAGAGAAAACTTTGCTTAGGTAGTTGCAATGCACTGAATGTTTATGTCCCCCTAAGATCGATAGGTTGAAATTGTTGACTACTGAGATAATGGTATTAACAAGTGGGGCTTTGGGAAGGTGATTAGTGGCCTTATAAAAGAAACTCCTGGGAGTTCTCTTGCCCCTTCCACTGTGGGAAAGCACAGATGGCTGTCTAGAAAGAGAAAGCAGGCCCTCACCCGATGTGAAATCTGCTGGTGCCTTCATCTCGGACTTAGACTCTAGAACTGTGAGAAGTGTCTCTTTTTTAAAACTTTTCATTCTTTATTTTATTTTATTATTCATGATAGAATGTGTGTATATGTAGGGGGAAAGAGAGAGAGAGAGAGAAACAGAGAAGCGTCCATCACAGGGCTCAATCACACCACAGTCCCCTTCCTTCAATCCTCCAGCCTGCTACACTCTGAGCACACATGTGTGTACACACGTGTGTTACCAGGCCTTCCAGACCAACCAACTCAGGGACTAACTAGGGTTGATGTGTGACTTCCAGCTCCACAGTCTTGTGTACAAGAAAAACTCAAAAATGGAGCCTCGGTTAGTATCACACTTCACGGTCTTCCTATTTTGAGGAAAAATAGGAACAACTACCAGGAAATTAGTTCAATCTCTGTTTTGTTTAAATGGAGGAAGAAGGGAAAGGAGAACAGAAATGTGAGTTTATCTTTAACAAAACAAGCCCTTGGCAGAGAGCAGTCTTCACTAAGGGGACAAGTGACCACCCTGCCCCACACACCACCAGCGGGGTTAATAAAGGAGGAGGTGGGAAGAGGGAAAGAAAACCTTCTGGAGGTTGAACCAAAGGGAATAAATTGCGAACAGCATTATGGTCAAAAAAGAGCATTTGAAGGAATAGGCCCAGGGTTATTGGGCTAGTGTCTGCACAAGGGTGAGAGTTGGTGCTTTCCACCTCCTGGGTGCAGTGGAGGCCAATTAAGTGGGGACAAGGGTTAGTTTATGACTTAGGGCATCGGTTTAGGGATCTGATCTTTATGCTGTTCCTAGTCATCACAGGAGACCCTCATTACTTGGCCGTGAAGAGTGTCGAGTTCTCAAATTATCAGCCTCAGTCTGAATATCAGAGGGAAAGATTCCTGGTCTCTTTGTACCAAGAATCTTGGAAACTGAATCAGACCTGTTGTAGGGTTTTCTAGAAAGTTAAAAGTGAACTCACTTTTGAATCAAATATAGCATTTTTTCTACCAACAATAGCAGTTGGACATCAATATTCAGAGGGCATGTATTTGTAAGGCATTGCAGGGCAACGACAATAACAAGGAGCAGGAAGATAAGGTCCCTGTTCTCAGAGAATTTGCATTCTTTTTAGTTATAATTTGCCAGAGAGTACATGCATGCTTTCTGGAGAGTGAAAGAAAGAGACAGAGAGACAGAGAGAGAGAGAAAGAAAGCATCCCCCCATCAGGCATAGTCACACTGCAATACCTTCTCCATTTACCCTTTCTCTCAGGATTTTGGTCATACACACACACACGCACCCAGAGTGCTTTTCTAGCTGCTGAGTCTGGAACTTGAACCATGCAGTCGACCATGTGGGATCCAGCTGCCTCAACCACCATGCCACAAACTGGCCTGGAATTTGCATTATAATCAGATTATAATACGATGATATTGTTCCAGAACATACGTATTTGCCTTTTTAGAGTTGAGAAACAGAAAGTTCTTGTTTTCCTCTAAATTAAGTTTTTGTTCTTTTTAACATCTTTTGTAGCAAGGAACAAAACCCAAAACATTGGATTTAGACCTCTCCAGAGATGAGAGTACTGTGTTACATGAAAAAATTTGAAGTAAAAAATACTATGAGTTTGCATATGGTTTTTAGCTCTAGATGAGGATTTCTCTTTGTTACTTTTGACCTTTTGGGAAACGTATGTCTATCCATGGGAGTTCATTTGTCCTATGACTATGGGATATTGAGTAGCAATGCTGGCCTCTACCCACTGGATGGCACTAGCACT